GAAGTAGAGAGATTTCGTGCAGTTGTTGTAGTGTGTCTGAACTGAAGAGATTGTTCACTATATATAAACAAGGAGGAGCATTTGCCTTTTAATGCAGCCATAACTCCTGTCATTATACTCTCATTTTAATTATGAAGTTTTGGATACAAAATAAATGAATATCGTTTTTAGGTTAAATGGAAACCACCACCCAAGTCGCGCCACACAAGTTCAAGGCTCGAAGGTCAAGTCGGTCCAAGATTTACACCCCCCTACGAGCGCGTAGGCCATGGAGGAATCTTTATGCAACAAATGGTTACATCTTGCAAATTATTAATCATATATAAATTGGTCCACAAACTCATTTCTATCCTATGTGGAATAACTATTTAAGTTTTCTCACATTACCACATTTCTTTTCATTTTCCATTGTGGGATGACACTATTTATAGTCCTCATATATTCCCATTTTTTCATTTCTAATCAATGTGGGATTGTAATCTCTTTTAAGGCTACTCTTCAAATCCCAACTTTCAATCAATGTGGGATTAATTTCATATACACAAGTGAAAATCTATTTTGCCAATCAATATATTTTCCAACAAAAAGTATACGAGCTTAAAAATTCAGCGGGTTGAGACTTGAGATAATATTCGTTTACAATCTTAAAGTCGTGACAACTGACATGAAATGTTTCCTCGCTATTTCTGTATTTCCTTTAAATTTGAAAGGTTAAGAAGGATGGTGGTCCGACCCATGAATTTGTATGATAAGCTGATAAACAAAGGCAAAATAACTTAGGATATCAAAATCTTAGGTAATATGTTTTAGAGGTTGGGATTAAAAATCATTGAAAACGAATTATCAGCAGCATTTGTAAAAGTGATCAATGGCACAATAAAAATGCTACAGTTCTGTAACTTCACCGTAGCTTGGCTAGATGACAATTGAAGGTAACCTTCGGTATTTAAAATTTTATTTCATGAAATTTTAGGGCTTGTTTGGGAATAATTTTAATTCAATTAAAATTGAAAATATAGCCGTTATTGGATCTCACCCGTCTAATAAAAGTCAACAATAACGACTAGTTTTTCAATTTTAATCTGATTTTAATCCTTTCCAAACAAGCTCTTAGACTGTCAACAAGCTTTCGTATCATTGGTCAAATAACCTTTCCTCACCTTGCAAGCACAAACTAATATCAACTCCAGTTGAGAGGTCAAAATCAACCCAGCCAAGCAGTTTCATTATGATACTAAATTTTGGTTACAATTGGCCATATCTATATGCAAAAGCAAAAGGTCGAAGTTCGGTTGAAGGGCGGCACCGCCCGGGAAAGCAATCCCAGTGGCCGCAGAGTCCAGGTTCAGTCTGTTAATAGGTCCAATAGCAGCAGCTGCTCTGCCAAGCCAGCTCTTATATATACATACAATGTGAACCTAACGCCCAGCCACTTAAACCCCTGGGGGACTAGGATTTGATCTGGGCGCGCCGACACTTCAGGGCCGGTCATTACTTAATAGCTGCAGAGGAATCCGTCCAACGGTCCTCTCAAAGGATCTAACAACAGACTTGAACCCGTTTCCCCGTATGCTCCACGAACACAGAACGCCGTTGAGGGGTGGGGCCAGTCCACATCAACCTTCCGTCGCCTTAATGCCCCCACTTGGGTTACAGGTACGCGTTGCTATACCCGGCGATCAACTCTCTCAGCTAACGTAATATAAAGTGGGAAATATTTTTTGAGATTCTCGATGTGGGACAATATATTTGAAAATTCTACGCTTAATCTCGTCCGGCGGTGCGGCGATGTTGCAGCTCAGACACCTCGAGCCCTCCGCCCTCTCTAAAACCGCCATATTTTGTTTCTCTAAAGCATGGATTTTTTGAGGGTTTTGCTTTGCGAATAGTATCGTAGACGAACGGGATCTACGAAGAGGACTTTCGGGTAACAAAATGAGCTTGACAACCATCGAAAAAACCGGGCCGAGTTATGGTCCATAATGTATAACGTGCATATTAATTGCAGCGATTTAAGCACTCAAACCTCTTATTCATCTTCTGCTTTTTATAAATGATGAATCACTTTGGGTTTTAAAGTGCTCTGTTAATTAAATAAAACATTCTTAGAAATCAATCCAAGTTTGTCAAAATCCAACTACTTAAACTAGGAATTAAAATCTAAATTTTAATCTAAGTCAAAGTCAACAATTAATTTTAAATACGTATTTCATCATTTTTTTTTTATCGAAATTTAATAAAAATCTAATTTTAATCTCCCAGGGCTAATCTCAAAGGACATTTCTGACATTTCATAAGTAAAATTTCTAAGATATTTCCTTGTGCAAAAGGTTCATTTGTAAAGCAAAGCTCAAATATGAATGCTATGGTCATTGGTCGTCTTTTCTTTTACTACTGTCCTCTGGAGGAAGTGCTGTGAACTGGATGATCCTTCGAACTTGGGCAGCATCGACGTGGAACCTCTCAGCAATTTGAGGAATATCCATAGGACCATCATGAACATCAGCCTTGCCTTGGTGCAGCAGGATGATTTGGCGTATTTGTGCCACATTTAGGGTTCCGGGAGGAGCAGGTCTTGCCTCGTATCTGCTGGAATCTGGTGTCGTATTCCTTAGTTTAGGAAAAGGCCTTTTGTACGTCTCCACCAAAGAGGCCTGTGAAAATAGTCAAGGTCAATAATAGATTCGCTCGATATAAACAAAAATAGCCGAAGGACTCAATCATTCAAATTCACCATCAGCACGGAATGGCAAAAAAGATTTGTATGGCCAATCTCAAATTTGTTAAGAACAAGGCTTAGTTTAAAAATACTCTGTTTAGACCATTCCAATTCAACATCTGTAACATAACACAACTGATTGCAAACTTATACCTGATAATTCCCCAAAAATACCAAAAATGTCACAAATATAACCCTAGCAAAAACTAGAAGCTGAACTCAAATCTGAAGAATTGAACAAACATTAAGTGTATAAGCCATTAGGATTTATGTCGAGATTTCACAAAATTTTACACTCAATGTCAACATACCGCAACCTCCATCACACAGGTTTGAGATTGAGATTGGCTATGAAAAATAAGCCCATGTTTGAGCCCCATTTTAAAACTCATTTTTAACCACAAATTCTCCCAATAAAATAATTTTGCACATGAACCCAAATTTTTTTTAGAAATTACTTTTTTACAAATCTATTCTCAAAAAATGGGGCTCAAGGGCTAAGTAATGACTTTATATTCAACAACAATGAGTAGCAGAAAACAAATAGCATCATGGTACAAGAACTGTCAGGCTTTCTCAAAAATGAAGCAAGCAAGGTGCCATCTAGCCATTTATACATTGATCTACTGCCCCCGACGAATTTTCTCCTTGATCAGACAATCTTGGCAGCACAAGGTATCCTCCTAAGGCTTGACTAGTTAATGAAGATGGAAAAATTTTCACAAGCCAATCAAATATTTCTCAGTAATTAAATTAGCCTCTTGTGAATAATTGACCAAGACTTTATAAGTGAATTTATGGAGGAAAAAGCATTGCAATATTAGTTAAATAATGACTTCAAAGGTTTTAATGAATCAAGTACGAGTGCCTTACCATAGCTGTTTATACTATGCCTATACGGGAAACATTATAAGCAAATGCCATCAAATCAAAGAAAAGCTCTTCTCATGATTCAATTTAAGGAACTATGCATTGAAGCGATGCGTTCAGGCATCAAAAATTTAGTATTGCAGATTTATCAGGATAATTTGTTTATGAACTTTAAAAGCTTTAACGTTAATCAGCTTGAAAAACACACCTCACCCATCTCAAACTTTCCTCCAGGCTTTGATTGAATTCTACCCACCATTTGACTAAGCATAGCATCATATCCCGGATCTCGCTCTTCAAGGACATTTTCTGCATTCGCTCTAGCTGCATCCTCTATGTTATTGTGAGAGAAAACAGAAACATAAATTCAGTCTACATTACATTTTTTTTTTTGAAAGGTTAAATTCAGTCTACATTACTCATTCATAAATGCCTCTGAATTTATGTTTTTACAGTATCCAAACATTTCTATACTTATTTCCATGGTGACCATCTACTACATTGTTTAATACACAAAGCAATAAAAACAAGTAAAAAAACACTATCATAAAAGAGCTCCTTTAGTTGTTATCCAACTAATCTTTTAGCATTGTGCGGATAAAATTGCTCATTTAAGCCTTTTAAGCTCTATACCATGTTAATCCCAGCTTAAGCTTGTAGAAGGGCCACTTTCAAATCATGATTTTTACCTTCTCACTTTATGGGTGGAAACAGTATGAATTGACCCTGTATAATTTTAACAGTACACTCATACTCAATATTTCCCCATACACAAGCATTTAAATTATCCAAAAAATTGAGAAATGCGGTGAACAAATTAAGAATTCTACCGTACATAAGCATCAAATTAAAAAATAAATAAATAATCCTGGAAACTAATGTACAAAATATTTACCAGAATCAACGTCATTAATGGGAACCTTTACACTAGGAACCGCAGGTGGGTTTTCGCCAATGGGTTTCTTGACCTTCGACGACACTGAAGGCGTGGTATCGACTCCCGAGCTGCTGATCCTTCCAGTTGCTCGACGAAATGCCTGACCCATTACTCCCAAATTTTAGTCCACTTAAACGGGTATTATATAACAACACCATTTTGATGTCCAAGCAACACTTCGTTCATTCCGCCCTTTTATGTGGGCCTCGTATATTCCTCTTAATCTGGCCCAGTCCAATCCATCAATCTATACAGTTGAACAACTCCTTACCTATTCCTTACGGGCCAATGCAATAACAATGATTTAGTTCTAATCTTTTACTCAACAAAGAAGAGAAGTAATGTTTGCATTTGAAAATAAAAATGTTACCAACTTTTACTTCTTTTAAACATTAGCAAACATGCTCCTAAGAATCAACTTCCAATTAAGAAATTGAAATTAAAATTCTAGATAAATTGCACTAAGATAGTGAACGAAAGTAGATAAATTTAAAGTCTATCAGATACTGCCTCCCTACATTAAGTGTATGTATTACCACCAAATAAACGTATGTGAAAAATAGAAATGCTAAAAAAGAGAATATACAGTCTCTTCATTGTATCTATGTTGCAGGTTGGATCTTTTCTATAATTTGTTATGGATTGAAGGTACGGTTCCAAGTTGATTTAGAGCGTGTTCGGTCGTACTTAAAATCCAATTAAAATTGAAAAAATAGTCGTTATTGAGTCTCACTCGTCTAATAAAAGTCAACAATAACGGCTAATTTTTCAATTTTAATCCGATTTTAATATCTACCGAACATGCCCTTATGTTTACGTGAAAATCAAGGTTTATATATATAATGATTTTACATGAAATAATTATAAGAACATGTTGGAACATATTCTTTTTATTGGCTTACTTAATATAGATTCATTTTCAAATGTCAAGAACAATTATCAAAAACGTGAAAAAACAGGATGCGGTCTAAACAAGTAGTCAGTTCTAACTGATTGGATGATAAGCTATCTCAACAAAATTCTGTGGCTGCGGATTTTAGGGCTTTAATATTCAAAACAATACACGATCTTCTGTTGCCATACCGTGCTTTCTATAGAATTATTCTCTTACCATCCTAGATATTATTTAATAGGTTAATTTATTAAATTCAAGGAAAGATTGATTTAATATTAAACTTTCTTTAAGTTTACTAATTATCATATCAAATAAATTTTATGAGATATTATGGAATACATCGTGTTTTCTCGATGATTTTTAGGTAAGTTTTGATTGGAAACTTGTGCATTACTTTGCATAAGTAAAGTACTTTGAAAACTCTCACATCCGTTCGAGACTTGCTATGCAAAGGACTGTTAGAATCATGCAATTCCAAACGAACTTTACACTTCATTGATTATATTCAAAGCAAATAGTTGTTTTTCAACCATATCCGAGGAAACAAACCAGAGTGTGAATGTTCAATTCAGTTAAAAGATCAAGTTGTTTGGTGTGTTAAGAATTGTGATTCTTAATCCAGGTGGTAGTTGCGGCCGAGTACAACAGTGAGGCAGTGATAAAGTCAATATCGGAGGGTTTTATTCCAATTTTACAACAAGTCAAAAAAAGAAGAAAACGAGGGAATTGTTTTTAGATTTCTTTTGATTGTTATATATTAACTTTGTGAAATTACAAAACTGAGATTATTTTATTTTTTATCGTTTGATTAATTGGATTGTTTGACTTGTGTCATAGGGGCCCGTCAATATTTCCCTTTGAGGTTTATCATGTTATATTGGAACGTTCATGTTTTAATATTTTAGTTAATTTTCGCAATTGATTAAAATTGGGATTGGGGTTGGGGTTCATTAGGACATCGAAATCAGTTTTATCTTTTCTTTTTAAAAGAAGAAGAATAATTATTTATTTATTTATATGCCTTGATATTTGATCTGAATTTGACCACTTAATTCTCGACCCCTTTACTATTGTAAATCAATGTATAAAATATGGCAATGGCTTTTTGAAATCAAGAGAAGGAAAAGAGTGGAATACTTTTGTTTGTGGGCATAGTGATTGATGTTAGGGGATAAAGAATTCGAGATTCTGTATGATTTTATTCTTAGTGTAGAGATTTTTTTCCTCGCACAATTCGCAGAGCCACAACATGCCCTGTCGATAGTCATAATTATATTAATTGGACCAAGTTAATTCACATGCAGTCCACGAAATAACACCGTGATGGTACGGATTATGAACATATTTTACAATTTAGAAAGTATTTATAAATTTAGATAGTAAAATTTCAATATTTTTATTTATAACACTTAATTTGACTACTATTTATTATTCTTACCTATCTCTTATTTTCAGTAGCTTCCCTCGAAACTAGCATATTATTTCCTTCAATTTTCTTTGTATATACTATTTAATTGGGTCAATATGCGGAATACTGAAAATTATCTCTAAATTTGAAGAGTTAAACTCACTCTATATTTTAAAATGCTGATTTGAAGAGTTTATTGGATCATAATTTTAAAGGTTGACTCTTTATGATATAGAGTTCCACTTTTGAAAAGCTTATTGGATATGCTCTGAGAGGCCTTACTTTTCATGTAAGTGAGCGTCATTGAGAAATGTATTACGAAAGAGGTGAAATCACCTTTTTACGTACTGACGAAATCGATGAATGAGGCTAAATGATTTTTAAGATGAACATCAAAAGACTTCCCCGACAGATTTTAGAGGAAATTAAAACCGCAATTATGTTTAGTTTCCATTTCCAAGTTAGTTTTGCATGCATAGGGGTAGGGGTAGGGTGGGGGTTCAGATGGGTGACAAAAACAATATCACTTGAAGTGGCCTGCGTAAATGGAGACATCGAATTGAAATGGAGAAAAGACCCCTTATTACCACTCACTTCCCTCTCAAAATACGAACAGACAACCAAATTGTACCTGTGTCTTGTGATATGTTACTTTACCTTCAAATTTGATTCCATTTCTTGATTTCCCTTTAGACATCCAAATCTTCATCCACCGTTCAATTTTCACTACAAACAAACATGAAGTGACTAGTCATTGTGCAAGTGTAACAAACATGGCAAGTTTATAAATTAAGATGGTCCAAACTCAACTATAATAATTGAAATTTATTTACTTTTTACTATGTTGGTTATCAATTTAATGCAACTCTCATTTTCTATTTAGGTATAAGATGAATTGCGAATAAATATTTGTCGAGTTCAACTATGTTGTATTTTCAAGTCTAGTAAGAAAATGGTATGGACACGCAATCTTTGAGACGTAATTAGCATTGGATAGGATTAAAAAGGAGAAATAAGTGAAAATCTTGTTTAATTGCTTGTTTGGTAATGTGAACTAATATTAAGAGAAAAAGAAGCTCGAATCGTGTAGTGCCTAGAAAATACATGTCCTAATTGTATGTTTGATACGTTGTCTCTGGATAAGATTAAAGAACAAAAAGAAATTAAAGTTTAATTTGTTGTCTTGTCAATTAGTGTATACCAAACATATCCTAAGTTATTTAAAATTAAGACTCTAAGTTCGCCTTGATACAAGTTCCTTCAAAATTAGCTTAAAAGTTAAAGACCAATTTAAGTAGTTCCGAAGTTCATTTGATTAGAGCATGCTTAATATAGAAAAGTACATAGAAAATAAGTGTTTTTCCCCAAATTCTAATAATTAATTTAGACATGAAGCTGAATTCACTTTAACTAATGTAATGTTAAAATATTTGTTAGAATTTGAGTGTGACCCAAATTCCTTAGTGAAGTAATTGAACAATTCTAATTGAAGTGCATTTCAAGAAAAATTCAAGTTTGAAATGCTATTGGAGTCTTATTCCAAGTTGAAATTCTATTTTGAAAGCTCATTGAGAGTTGAAATTTTGGTATTTGACTTGAAGAAGAGTTTGTGATAGAGAAAACAATTTTTTTTAAAAAAAAATTATTTTTTTCCGAGCAGAACACTCGGCACCCACCTTGCTATTCCGATTTTCCTCATTTTTCTATCATTTTTCGTTTTTGACTCATTTCTTGGCATACTACTTCATAAAAAACTCTAATAAGAGGTTTGGACATCCTCTACATGATCAATCCTACTTCATTAACAACTCGACTAGGTGGGTTTGGACATCCCCTACTTTTTCCCTATAAATACTAGACTCTTCTATACAATTTTATAATGTGAGAAAATAGATTACTAGAATTATAAGATCCATTGTAATTTTCTCTCTTCTCTATTATTCTTGAGTCAATAAAATATCTTAACTCATCTACCATATTTTTTGTTTTCATTATTCTTTTGTTTGATCTAATACTTCATTATTTGCCATATAATTTCAACAATTCATTCTGATAGTTGGTTTCAACAAGTAGTTTTCAAATAATACATAATTCTTGTATTTTCAATATTGCAACAGCGATCCCAGCATATTAATATTTCTTTTAACAAGAGATATTTTGGTTGTTTCACAATAAGTGGTATCAGAGCGATTCTGGTATCTTGTTTGATTTCACAACAAGTGGTATCAGAGCCTAGGTTCAGCAGTTCTGCAAGAGCGCAGGGTTTAATTTGTTCAATGTTTTTTGTTTGTGATGGCTTCCATGAAATATAAAAATTCGCTTTTGGATCGAAACATTAGATTTTTGCTATGGCAGGTTAAAATGAGTGACGTATTCGCAGAATTGGATTTGGATGATGCGTTGTTGGGAATTAACAAGATACACGTAACTTTGACCTCGAATGAGAAATTACGGAATGATAAGAAGGCAATTTCTCACATTCATCTTCATTTATAGAATATCATTCTTCAGGGCGTTTTGAAAGAGGTTTCAGCAGCTGCTCTATGGTTAAAGTTGGAGCAATTACGCATGTCTAAAAGTTTGACAAGCAAGTTGAACATCAAGAAGCCTTAATACTCTCATCGATGACGAAGGAGAATCATTGGAAGATCACCTGGCTGTATTTAAAGAAATCGTCGCTGATTTGAAAACTTTGGAAGTAAAGTATGATGATGAAGATTTGACATTGATCATATTGTGTTCTTGTCCACTTCGTTTTCTTCATTTAGAAATACAATCTTATATAGTCGTGATACTCTCACCATAGAGGAGGTGTATAATGCTTTCTATTCAAAAGAGAAGATGAAGCATTTGGTTTCTGAAACCAGAGATAAAGAATGTCTGGTTACTCATGGTAGTTCTGCAAGGGGCAGATCGAAATCTAAGTTCAATAATCAGATTTGCAACTAATGCAAGAAGAAGTGGCACATGAAGAAGGATTGCTACAAATTGCAGAATAAAGAAATGTTGGCTGCAAATCGATATGGGAAGTAATTAGACACTTCATGTGAAGCAGACCTCACGAAGAACATTGATGGAGATCTTTTAGCTATTTCTGACATCGAGTCTAAACCAGGGGAGGATTGGATTCTTGATTCATCATGTATGTTTCATATGTGTCCTAATAAGGACTTGTTTACTACATATGAAATTGTTTTCAAAAGTGTCGTGGTTATAGAAAACAATGCACCTTGTCGAGTTGCTAGAATTGGTACGGTCAGATTGAAACTTTTGGATGGAATAATTAAAAAACTTGGCTACGTTTGACATGTTCCAAATTTGAAGAAGAATCTCATCTCATGGTCTATCCTTGATTCAAAAGATTATGGGTTCTTTGGTGGAGTTGAAGTTTTGAATGTTTGTAAGGTGCTCAGGTTGTATTGGAGGGACAAAAAATGTCTTAATTATACATCTTGCAGGGTCGTGTAGAATCTAGAAGAGTCAATCAGCACATGTGCAGTACCGTGATGGACATTCGATTTGGTACAATACCTTTAGGAGCTCGTAAAGAGTCGGATTTGAAAAATACTGCTCACTGGAGTTCAGGAGATATGGATAATGCTGCTTTGCCACTATCATCTGTGGTGTCATTGTATTCAATTGTTAGGGATGGATCCAGTGAAAAATGGTATATGGATGCTGATTTTATTAAGCATACTTTAAGTGGAGTACAAGTTGTACAATCTAACAATGAGCATTCTTTAAAAGCATTTGGGGTTGATTCTACTTGGGAGTGTATTACAACCCAATTTAGTAAATTATAAAATCATTATATTTTTCGAAAATCTGAGATAATTCTACAAGAGTAGTGCTTTGATTTATTAGAAGAGGTGGAATATTGTGTTTTATTGGAGAAATTAATTTTTTTTGTTATTGTTGAAGAAACCAGTTCATTCCTTAGTGGAATTCGTGTCAATGTGGATATTTTTAGAATTTGAGTGTGATCCGAATTTCTTGTTGAATTAATTGAAGAATTCTAATTGAAGTGCACGCCGAGAAGAATTCAAGTTTAGAATGTTATTGGAGTCCTATATCAAGTTGAAGTTCTAATTTGGAAGTTCCTATATCAAGTAGAAGTTCTAATTTGAAAGCCCATTAGGAGTTGAAAATTTGATATTGAACTTGAAGAAGAGTTTAGGATGGAGAAAATGATTTTTTTTTTAATTATTTTTCTTCCGGGCAAAACACTCAGCGCCTACCTTGCCTATTTCAGTTTTTCGCATTTTTCTCTTTTTATTCGTTTTGGACTCGATTTTTTGGTATCCTATTTCATCAACAACTCTATTAAGAGGGTTTGAACGTCTCCTACACGTTCCTATAAATATTTGGCTCTTGTATACAATTTTATAAATGTGAGAAAAGAGATTACTAGAATTATAGGATCTATTGTAATTTTTTCTCTTATCCATTATTCTTGAGTTAATAAAATCTCTTAATTTTTTTACCATATTTCGTCTTTATTATTCTTTTACTTAATCTAATACTTTATTATTTGCCATATAATTTCAACAATTCATTCTGGTGGTTGGTTTCATCAAGTGGTATTCAAACAATACATAATTCTTGTGCTTTCAATATTGCAACAGCGATCCGGACATATTAATATTTTATCTATTAAGAGATATTTTTGTTGTTTCACAACAAGTGGTATAAAAGGGATCCTCATATTTTGTTTGATTTCACAACAATACTAATAATTTATGTTATTTGATAATAAGCATTACATTTACTACAATCGTAAATGACTTAATTAGGTTGCATGCACTATTGATATTCTTAAAGTGCACCACACATTCAAACACGTATGGGCTCTTGCCTATATATATTTAGCACAGTCCAAGTTGAGTAGCTACAAATTAAGCAGCATTTATCATTACCTTCGAAATTGTTTATATTCCAAATCTCTGTTAAAAATGGCTCCAAACCCAGTATCTCATATCAACATAGGCCACATCGATGATGTTCAAGAATTGAGAAAGAGTAAATCATCACATATTCCTGAAAGATTTATCAGGGACACGACTGAACGGCCTAAATTCGACAAAGATATTGTGTCTTTGACGAACAATATCCCAGTTATTGATTTGTCAAAACTCTTTAAAGGCAATAAGGATGAATTCTCGAATGAAATCTTGAAGCTGACAGTTGCTTGTCAAGAATGGGGCTTCTTTCAGGTATTAGACTTAATTGATCACGTACTTTTTCAACTTTTGATTGATTTTTACCATCGATTGTTCTGGGCGGGCTGCATAGCATTTACCCTGTGGTGCCAGTCCCTAGTTGGGACGGTTCTGACTAAGAAGATGACTCTAATGGCAGGTGATTAAACATGGAATTGATTTGGAGTTGCTAGAGAGTATAGAGAAGGTGGCTCTCGAGTTTTTCTCGATGCCTTTAGAGGAGAAACAAAAGTATCCTATGATTCCTGGGACTGTACAAGGATATGGTCAGGCTTTTGTTTTCTCAGAAGACCAGAAGTTGGATTGGTGCAACATGTTTGCTCTTGGTTTGGAGCCACACTACCTTAGGAACCCAAAATTATGGCCAACTAAGCCATCAAATTTCAGGTTATTGTGCTAAAAACTTTGCCCCATCAATGCGTACTTGTTTTAGGGGGCGAGGACGGTTGAATAAAGTAATAAATTAAATCATTTTCTCAAATTCGAGATCAGCTATATAAATCAAGTTTAACAACTTCATTCAGTTCATTCTACAGAAAGATCTAAAGGGTTTGATGTACTCCTTTCTTGACGTGTTTTATTGAGATCATATTTACTTTTATGAACAGTAACCTAAACTGGGGTCTAGGTAAAACATATTCCACCCACCTAACTCTCACCTTCTTTATTTTAAGCTTTCGACCCCACCTCTACTTGTTGACATATATATATATTCTCATTATGAAGCCCGTGACATTTTACCTCGTGATTTTTACAGTGAAACTGTGGAGGAATACTCGAGAGTGATTCGAAAATTGTGCAAGAATTTACTGAAGTACATATCGATCAGTCTTGACCTTAACAATGACGTTTTCGAGGAAATGTTTGGTGTGGCTGTGCAAGCAGTTAGAATGAACTACTATCCGGCATGCCCTAGGCCAGACCTTGTTTTGGGCTTAAGTCCCCATTCTGATGGAAGTGCCCTTACTGTTTTACAACAAGGAAAGGGAAATTCAGTTGGCCTTCAAATCCTAAAAGACAATTCTTGGATCCCAGTTCAGCCAATTTCTAATGCTCTAATTGTCAATATTGGGGACACCATTGAGGTATTAGATCGTTTAGATATTTTCTTATTTTTGCAGGAATATTGTACCATCGGTTTAAATTTAGTCATAACCTTTTAAAAAGAAGTCATTATAAATAGTCGTATAAAGTCTCCAATGATGAAAAAGTCCAAATCTCGTTAGAACTTCACATGACTTTTATATGTTCAACTTTTTGAAGCTAGATTTTATTTTTCACTTGGGCTAGTGTCCTGAAACTTGAAGTGGAATATGGTTAAATATGATTTAATTGAGATTCCAACAGATCCATTTCTATACACTAGTTTTACAATTATAATGGAAGGTTAATGACCAACTTTTTACTCTTGGACGAATGATGCAATTTTTCCTTTCATTACAAGTTTTAACGGGTAATGCTACTTCTTTTTTTCTTTTTCATTATTTTCTATAGGTTCTAACGAATGGCCGATACAAGAGTGTGGAGCATAGAGCGGTGACTCATAAAGAAAAAGACAGACTCTCCATTGTCACATTTTATGCTCCGAGTTATGAAATAGAACTTGGACCGATGCAAGAACTTGTGAATGAAAACAACCCTTGCAAGTATAGAAGATACAACCATGGAGAGTATAGCAAGCACTATGTCACCAACAAGCTTCAAGGCAAAAAGAGCCTTGAATTTGCAAAAATCAATCCTAACTTGGAATTTGAATATTAGAATTGCTAGTAAGACATAGTTTTAATCCGGTTTACTTTGGGTGATGCTGTATGTCGTGTCAATAAGTGACTTCTTAGATCCAGGGTCAGTCTTCAGAATTATGAGGCCCTAGGCGATAAACTGTTACGATGCTCTTAAATATAAATAAAATTAAAATTTTTAAAATAATAACTTATTTTTAACCTTCACAGAAATTATTTTATAAATTTTAAAGAAACTTTATAAGCTTAGCAAAAAATTATAGGGAATATTTTTTATTTTTATTTTATTTTTTTTTTTTGCATTGACTTTTTTCTAGATTTTGGTAGATAGAAAAAAAAAGATATAACACTAGGTAATAGTTTAATTATATGTCAATTTTATTCCTTAAATCAAGAATGTAAGTAAGTTTCCAAGTACTTTTGGCCTCTTATTTAGTCCCATTTTATTGTTACCTTTTTAAAGAACTATATGGCCCAACTCAAAGAAATATAAAGGAAAGCTTTTAGGGAAAAATTCATAAATAAAAGGTTAAGTTTCACTCATTCAAAATTAAGGACCTAAGGTTTAAAATTTCAAATGTCAGATTTTTTCAAAATTTATTTATAAATTAATTAATAAAACATATATTTTATTAATTAAATATATTAAGGTCACAATTTTATATAATTTGGTCACAAATTATAAATTAATTGCTCGCAAATTATTTCTCGATCATAATAAGAAAAATTTATAGACCACAAATTATTTCACAATCACAAATCGAAAATTTTATAGGTCATAATTTTTTCATGGGTCACAAATTAATAAAATTAATAGGTCACATATTATTCATGGTCATAAATCATAAATTTTATATATCACGAATTATTTTAACGTCACAATTCAAAAATTTTATAGGTCACAATTTGTTCATCGGTCACAAATCAAAAATTGAAACATCATATTTTATTTATAGGCCACAAAACACAAATATTATAAGTCACAATTTATTAATCAGTCACAAATTAACAATCTTTTAGGTCACACATTATTTTTTTGTCACAATTTATCTTTTAAATTGGTCGAATGTTGTTTTTCAGTCACATATTAATCAATTTAATGGTCACAAACAATCAAATAATTTGTGATCACCACCAACACTTGTGACTACCACCTCATCACTGTCACCAACAGCATGACAATCGAAACCCTGTTGCCGGAACCACCACCACCTCTCAACAGCAAACCATCATCTAAAAATACTGACATCATCATGACCACCACTATCCACCCACAACAACCGCACCACCACCTTTAAAACCACAAAACCTCCACCACCACCATCCCCATCCTACAACCCAAAAAAAATCCCCAACCCTACCATCATCGTCGCCGACTACCACCAATACTGCCACCACAATCACCACCAATCTACAAACACAACAACATCCCTCGTCACCACCATCTCCATCACAGCTACCACCACACACAGAGCACTAGACCACTCACCCCCCAACCATTGTACTTACAGCACCACAGTAGCACATCACCGCCCCACCCATCGGAGATCTTTGTTCCCCCCATTGCACTACACACCTCCACCACCACCGCACAGCACACCTCCACAATCCCACACCACTTAAAAAAAGAATTTTTTAAAAAAAAAAGAGGAAGAAGAAACACCTACAGCACCACAACTGCACATCACTGCCACACACACCGGTGATCTCCGTTCCCACCACCGCATCGTACACCTCCACAATCACCACACCACTCAAAAATTAAAAAAGAAAATTACGGATCTACACGACAACGGTGACTCATAGCGGTGCATCCGCAGCGATGCACCTCTGCATCGCCTTATGACTTACATCGGTACTCTTGCAGCGGTGCACCCACTGCGACGTCACCAGATGAGGCTGAGCCGTCTCGTGGAGGCTAGGCTGCCGGCGGAAAGGGAGGAGAGTGGCGTCGATAGAGAGAGTGATGGAGAGAAGAGAGGAGGATGAGGAAAATTGGAATGAAATTAATTAAGGCTTGAGATGAAAATTATATAATTAATATTTAATATTTAAAAATTATATCTAATTTTTGAAAGTGAAACATTCAATCTGATTTTTGAAATTGAATATTTAAAGTTCTGGTTTTGTGTAATCTCAACGAATTTTTATTATGCAATTGGAAATTTTTTTTTTAGGCCCTTCAGATCATGAGGCCCAAGACAATGGCCTAGTTTGCCTTGGGCTAGGGCCGGGTCTGCTTAGAACTTGTAAATAGAGTGTAGCATGATGCAAGTTGTTGGTAATGTATTGTTGTTAGGAATTATGAAGAATAACTAATAGGCAACTCAAGACTGTTGGAATTCACTAGAAAATTGAAGTCTGTGGGGGTCTTATGTTTATAATCATGGCCGGTCCTGCCCCAAGGCAAACAAGGCCATTGCCTTGGGTCTCAGATTTTAAGGGGCCTCAAAAAAGAGGCCCAAAGTCTAATTCATATAAAAAAAAATAGTTTTGTTCTACAATCAGGAAGAGGAAATCAGGAAGAGGAAGAGGTGCCTCCTCGAGACTCCAATCAATGGTTGGCCCTATACACGTACATTATTCAGATGGGATCGTTGGAAGGTCCATTGAAAAATTGCAATTTTATATATACCAGATCTAGAAAAAAAAAAGTGTTGGGAAAATCATGGCGATGATAAATGATTATCATTTTCCGCTGTTTGAAACCAAGAAAACAAATGGCAGAATAATTTACAAGCTATTTGCAGCCTCAAACTTTGGTGGAATCATTTTCATTTGGGTTTACAGAGCAACTCATATTGAAGGATTTACAGATGTTGGAAAACTCTGATGGATTGGAATGTTTGGAACCGAGATGTGGTTCAGCTTTTACTGGATGCTCGCTCAAGCTCTTCGTTGGAACCGTGTTTCTCGTCAGACTTTCAAGAATAGGCTCGCTGAGAGGTTTCTTCCCCTCTTCGAATGTTTTATTTGTTTCTACTACTATATGGGCATTGTTTAGGGACAACACTACATGTTAGATAAATTGGTGTATAAATCATATTCTCTTAACATAAACACGTGCATACAAATACGGATTTTGCTCCCTACACGGGTGCTAACAGGATCAAATGGATGTCCATCACACGCTTCTTTCAAAATTAATATAGCACTATATTAATTGTAAAGGGTCAACTAACGCTTGACTGTACTTTTTTAAAATGGAAGATATCGAATATTAAATATCGAACACGAAACTCAAAATAATTTGGAAATTATTTTGACATAATCTTATCTTCGATCAACAATATCCCAAGAATGATTGAATGCATTAGCCATGATTTCGATTGAAAAAAATATGTTTGAAAAATTTGATTTTAGTAGTTTGCATCTCAAAATGTGAGAAGGTTAAATTTCATGCTAGTGTAATATCTCGGGTTGTGAGAAAAAATTTAGTTTGCTACTATATCTTTTGAATTATATAAAGTCTTCTTTTTATTGTAAGAAAAGTTTTAGTTTGCTACTCTATCTTTTGAATTATATAAAGTCTTCTTTTTAATATAAAAGTGTTAATTAATTAAATATTTAAATTTTGCTACACTTGTGAAGAAATAATTAGTCGCCTAGGGCCTCATGATAATTAGTCGCCCTAGGGCCTCTTAATTCTCAGGGCCAGCTTGTTTACAATAAACAAGGGTTGAAGTATGTAAGAATCCAACACAATTTTACTTTTACACTTCTTTCTATCAGATTCCAACTTTAATAAGAAAGCATGCAATAATGAGGGAAAATCAGGGAGCATCACCACCCCATGTTTGAGTGTCTCACTAAAACCATATCACATTTGGTTGGTAATACTAACGTGACTCAAACAACAATATAAATTAGATTTGATCAGTGAGACGACAGGGAGAAAAGCTTCTTCATTGAGAAGAAAACACCCTTAATCATTAGCTAAGGCCCCCGAACACAGCTTACAAATTTCATCATATTCTACTCGCCGGAGAGCAACTATTCTCAAAATCTAGCTCGAGAGGAGATGAATTGGAATCTTACTTTAACTAAGGATTCTTGTGTAGTTCTAGAGGTTTCATCTCCACGAGAACCAGTAACACAGAGCTTTTCCCCATTTTTTCCCAACTTTAAATCCTAACCCATCATCTAGGAAGCCTTTTTAACTGAATAATGTCAAGTCTATCTTGCCGAACGCTCTTGAAATGGAGAAAAGAAAACCACTGGCTTCCATTGTTTTGAGAGATTTTTCTTAGTGGAAAGGAGAGAAAGGAGCCCACAAATCATGTATATCTGCTTCAATGATCACACAATTTGTCTTGAAAACAGCACTAACCTAGCAACTTGCCATGAAATTTGATGATACTAAGTTGAAATAACATGTAGTGCTTGTAACAACTATAGCACCAAAAGAACTCAAAAATTGAAAATATCAAGAAATATAAAGAAAGAATTTTGGAGTACTCCCCTGAGAAGCTGGCCCTAGTCCTTGACAAATTATGTATATTTTAACATAGTATCAATGTAAGCAAACATTTTAAGTTTTACAAGCAATCATTTATGAAAATTGTGCACATGTCACGACTTTAATAAAAGATGAATCTGGTTTTGCATACAAGGGTCATTTTGAAGACTAAATAAGTGTGTTCAGCTTAACATGTTCAAACAGAATTACCTATTTACATCTCTCTTATTATCCAGGCGGGCTTACAGAAGAAAATATTATTTGAAGTTGCACCTCGTTTTTCTTCTTTAAGATGCAAGTTTTCTTTAAAATCTCTTCACCTTTTGACAATCCCGTGATACAATTCGTATTTCTGTCTAAATTAAACTGTCAAAATTCAAAATAAAAATGGTTTATTGTTGAAAATATAGTTCTAGGCCTAATATTAATAAGAGAGACACTTAACTGATGCAATTAGTTAGTGGATTGCAAAAAGAGAAGTTCCACAATATAAAAACCAATAAAAGGATGCAATTTTGAGAAGAAGATATAATTTCTAGAATGACCATTATTAATTCCCA